CTACCCTCTCTGACTCTTAGTTGTCACATTTCCAGAAGTTTTAATTTTTTTTAAAATAATTTACCCTTAATTTCTTTTTAATATTATTTACTTCAAAAAATAATTAATATTATGAGCAAACGAGAAAAAGTTAAAATAATTCTACCTTCATTTTGTAAATAAACAAGCATTTTGGGACAAATATTTAGTACCCGTTTGACCCCAAATATATTTGGGAAAAACTTGAGAAATGGTGTTTGGCCATACAAGTTGCTATTATTTGGCAAATATATTTGCTAAATATCTCAAGTTCCCAATTATTAGGAAAAATGAGTATTTAGGTCAAATTATAATATTTGGAAATTTTAAAAAATTAAAAAATTACCCCAAGTCTATATTTTATAAAAATTAATCATCATTAATTAATTCCAACTAATATTTATCTACCAAATTACTCCACTAATAACTAATAGCTATTCATCGTTGTTATTTATACGTGTCCAAAAAAAGAATAATTGTTTTTAATGTATTATAATTCATCTTGAATCAGTGACAAGTTTGAATATGTGATTGAGGTATTGCCTTTGCCCATATTGTTATTTCGTTGTTGTTGATTGTCATCAAATATGTATAAGGTTATTTTTTAACGGAACATTTTTATCATAAAATGACAATACAAACTTAAAGGTGTTTTTCATAAGTTTTAGAACTTATGGATATAAGTCATATTTTTTAAAATAGTCAAATATTTTCCCCAAAATTTATGGTCAAACGCACAATAACACTTCATTCAAATCTTCAACTAAAAATGATAGCTATGAAAATATTTGAAAATTTAGGATCAAACGCTAGCTTAGTAATATCAACAATTGATATGGGACGGAAAGAGTAACATATAAATTTCATTCATGTATTTTTATTTTTTTTACTAATTGATATGAATTACAACACATGCGCGTGAAGCACTAAAAAACACATTTTTTATTTTTAGTATTTTTATGCGCGTGAAGCACTAAAAAAACATTTTTTATTAAATATATTTAATATATTTTTATTAAGATTTGACTTTATATCACCTATTTTATTGAGCAAAATGAGATTTCAAATTGATACTAGCTAAATTTAATAAGTAAGACATTTATTACTTTTACTAATGGAAACGCTGAAAATTGGCTTGGAAGCTACCATATATACTTGGGGCTCGTTTGATTAAAGAATTAAATTACTTCAAAATTAGTTATCTCATAATTAATATTTTCATTCTTAATATAAGATAATATATATTTCTGAGATAATTATTTTCGAGATAAATTATCTCGTAATTTTTTTAGCAACTAAAGAAGGGATAAGCTAATATCCTAAAATTAATTATTTCTTATCCAACTTAACTCGTGTTATGTGGATATTAGTAATATAGTGATTAATTATGAGCGAATCTATGAATTATTTTATGCAACTAATAGTTATTCCACATTCTATCTTGCATAAAATAATACATAAATTCTCTCATGACTTATACATGTACTTATTAGTTATGCGAATTTCTAAATTATTAATAACATCGTATAAATTATGTGAAAATTAATATATAAATAACTTAAATATTTCTTATTCAGGTACCAAACGAAGCTTAATGTTATTATAATTAATAAGAGGTGACCATCTGGTAACAGTTGGCTCTATAAAGTCTGTTCCACCCCTCCCCCATTTGAAAAACATTAGTAGTCCATATGTATGAAAAACATCACAAAAAAGGTAAAACTCCTTTGTCACTACACATTCTAAATTCCCTCTTCTTTTTCTACTATACTATATATATGTCCATTCCCAAAAATAGTACTATTGCTCACCCTTCCCAAGTTTTCAAAAAAAAAAAAACATAATTTTTTTAAAAAATTATTTACTCATCAATGGAGGTTTGTCTCTGTTCCATCTCAAGATCATCAATCAATAAATTTGGAAGTTACGCAATTTTGATAGCCTTGTTGTTTTCTCTTATGTGCTTTACATCTACAGGTGAGTGAATGCCCAACGTGTTTTTTTCACTTTTGAAATCGTCTCATTTACTATTTATTATCTAGCTACTCAAGTGTTCTTTTAAAAAAATGAATCTTTTTTTTTTGTTTTTATCGTTCAATTGTGACAAGCAAGTTTAGCTGATTTTGGATATAGAAATGAAGATTTTGGGTTTGCTTCAAAATGTAACATTGCTAATAAAACTGTTTCATTAAATCGGAAAGAACAGAGTCAAGATTACAGAAAGGGATTATATTATGATAATCTTGAAAAAATAAGTTTTTTTTTTTTTTGTATGGTTTGAGTAAATTTTTGGTCAAAGATAGTATGGATATTCGAGTTTTTGAGTGTGGTTTCTTTATTGATGTAATAAGAATGTCCTACACGTTGATTGTGCTAACAGTTTGACCATTTTATAAAAAGGCTTTATTTTTTCCCCCTTTTTGCGGTTTATCCTTCATTTTATTTTGAATTTGTCTAGGATTTCATTTTCGATGTGTTTAAATTGTTGTTGATCAGGTTGATGAGTTAGTTCAGATTACTGATTCTAAGAATTTTATTTGTCTCTACGAAGAACACATTTTGGTATACGAGAGATTAAACTACTACTACTATTAATTTTTGTTTCGAGTAAAGTAGTTTACTGTTTGCTGCATATTGTTGCAGATGCTTATGATTCACTTGATCCCAATGGAAATATTACTGTCAAGTGGGATATTAAATCTTGGACTCCAGATGGATATATTGTGAGTGTATTTGATCTTATTATACTAATGAAATGTTCTTTGAGTTTGCATTATTCCCTTATCTATTTGAATTAGTGTAAAGTGGAAGTTCAATTTTTTTTTTTGGTTAGGAATATTACTTGTTACTTGAAATAACAATCATAGTTTATAATACTTGTGTTTGACCAAAAAAGGATTTTTTTTCCTTTGAATTAAGCAGGCTGTTGTTACAATATATAACTTCCAAAAGTATCGTCATATTCAAACACCAGGATGGCAACTAGGTTGGACATGGGCAAAAAAAGAAATAATTTGGAGTGCAGCTGGAGGTCAAGCCATAGAGCAAGGAGATTGTTCGAACTTCAAAGGAAGCATCCCTCATTGCTGCAAAAGAGACCCATTCATTGTCGACTTGTTGCCAGGAACTCCGTATAACCAACAAATTTCAAATTGCTGCAGAGGCGGAGTGATTAGCTCGTGGGTTCAAGACCCAGAGAAAGCTGTTAGCGCATTCCAAATAACTGTCGGTCAAGCAGGAACAAGTAACAAGACAGTAAGGTTGCCAAAAAACTTCACCCTCAAAGCACCGGGACATGGATATACATGTGGACCTGCAATGAAGGGGAAACCAACCAAGTTTCTAACACCAGATGGAAGGAGGTTCACTCAAGCTTTGAGTAAGTTATGTTCCTTTACTTTCTCAAGACATTAGTGACATGACACATCCGCAAATGATGCATACCTCTTTGATCATGGAATTTTCTGAGTCTATACTAGTAAAGTTAAAGGTGTAATCATATTAATTGTATCTTTTTCCTTGCAGTGACATGGAATGTTATTTGCACGTATTCACAGTTCTTAGCTCAGAGGACACCGACTTGTTGTGTCTCACTGTCCTCTTTCTACAACAACACAATTATAAACTGTCCGACTTGCACATGTGGTTGCCAAAATAACATAACACAACCAGGAACATGTGTAGAGTGAGCAGACACTATCTTTAATCTCATATTCTCCCTTTCTTTTTTGTTTAAGTTTCGGGAAGTTCTTAATATTCATTTGATGTTTATTTTATGTTCTCTGACAGGCCGGACTCTCCTTATTTAGCCTCAACACTTCTAAGTTCCGGAAAAGATGATGACAGTCCTGTGGTCCAATGTACTAAACATATGTGTCCGATTAGAGTTCATTGGCATATTAAGACCAATTATAAAGCTTACTGGAGAGTAAAAATTACAATAACAAATTTTAACTACAAAATGAACTATTCCCAGTGGAATCTTGTTGTTCAACACCCCAACTTTGAGAATCTCACGCAGATATTCAGCTTTAATTATGAGCCACTGCTCCCGTATGGTTCCATTAGTGAGTACTCTTTTCCCTTGACAACGAAATACAACTTTCGTATACATTTGAGCTTTCTAATTGATTTCATCTTCTTCAGATGATACTGCTATGTTTTGGGGAATCCAATATTACAATGATCAACTAATGCAGGGTGGACCTTCTGGAAATGTGCAATCAGAGATCATACTTCAGAAAGATAAATTGAAGTTTACCTTTGAAAAGGGATGGGCTTTCCCTCGAAAGGTTTACTTTAATGGCGATAACTGTGTTATGCCACCTCCCGATGCTTATCCATACCTACCAAATGCTAGTGCCTACAGTAGGCTTACTCTACTGCACTCTTTGGCTGCAATTTTGGTATCTCTTGTTCTATTATATTCACATAACTTGTAAAGTTAAAAGAAAGATATACAATTGAAGAGTTTAATTGCTTCCAATGAAGAGAATTTCCTTGCCTTGTTTATATCAACATGAAATATCTTCAGTAAAATTTAAAAGCATCACTTCTGCAACTTCACCCTGAGGTTCCAAAATGTGAAGGTTTACTTGTGATTTTGTAGATGTAACCATTGACTTGGTGTGTTCCAGTTCGATTGCTCGAGGTTCAACATGTACATTGTATTGGTGTGTTGGTGCACTAGACTATGAGAATTTTGATGTACACTATTGGGTGATGTTCAGAGAACTTCATATTTATATATATATATAACAAAAATCTTATATATAAGGAAAATGTTATCTCTAGTTATACAATAAAATGCACAAGGTTCCATTTCACTATTCTCTCTGCATGCATACAATATATAACAACCTAAGCAAGCTCTTGTTGATGGAACACAATCTAAATATCATGAGAAGCACCAGTAGAATATGTGTTGCTGCCATCGTTCCGGGTAGTGTTTAGTCATAAGCCTGTCTCTTTTGGTCTTCACTTGGTTTTATCCATTACCAAGTGAGGAAAATCATCAAAATAGTGCAAATTGCAGTGTTTGAAAATGAAAATGGTCTTTTTTCAGCAGAGTTGGGCAAAATTGGGTATGAATCCGGAGGTGGAAGTTTGCATTCATCTCCATTAAAGTAGACTCTCCGGGGAAATCCCCATCCTGACTTCAGTGTGAATGTATTCTTATCCTTTTGCATAAGCACCTCAGACTGAACATTCCCCGAAGGTCCAGCTTCCATCAAGAGATCATTGTAAAATTTCATACCATAGAACATGCCAGTGTCATCTGTGTGGAAATAAATGATTGTTAAGTTCCATTCAAGCTTGAGAAAAAAAAATACTAAATTCACATTCGTATGCACTCACTAATGGATTGGTAGGGCACGAGAGGCTTGTAGTCGAAGCTGAAAACTTGAGTGACATTGTTGAGATTAGGATGTTGTGCCACAAGTGTCCAATGTGAATGGTTCTGTCTGTAATTGAAGTTAGTGATAGCAATCTTGACTCGCCAATAATCCTTGTAATTGAGCTTAACATGCCAATGCACGCGTATTGGGCACATGTGATGGGTGCATTGCAGTAATGGTTCATTATCCTTTCTTGGAGTGTTAATTCCCTTTCTTTTCAGTTTTTCCGAGTCTCCCCTGCATCATCAAAATCCCCAGTAGAGTAATTAGCAAATGATGATGAAAAAGCTCGATGTATGCAAAGGATACCTACATGATGCAGTTGTGTTTATGATTGCAACCACAAGCACAAGATGGGCAAGGAGTGATGGTGTCGTTGTAGAAAGTTGAGAAAGAAACACAACAACTCGGGTACTTGGATGACAGAAACTGTGAGTACGTGCATGTCACATTCCATGTCACTGCAAGTAATTATTACATCAACCACCTGATTGGTTACTGAAATACCGATAAACAGAGGAAAAAATAGAAGCAGAAAAGGGTAACTTACTCAATGCTTGAGTTTTTCGCCTATGATCTGCAGTGAGGAAAACTGTGGATGGAACTATCTTTGCAGGGCCACAAGTGTAGCCTGGTCCTGGTCCAAGCAGAGTGAAATTCTTGGGTAGTTTTACTGTCTTGTTTGATGTTCCAGCAAGTCCAACACTAATCTGAAAGGAAGATACCGACTCAGAAGGATCTTCGCCCCAAGATGCGAGAACACCACCTTTACAACAGTTGCTGAACTGTTGGTTGTAAGGAACTCCGGGAAGCAAGTCCACCAGTACAGGATCCCTCTTGCAGCAATGAGGTACATTTCCTTTAAACTTAGAACAGTCACCTTGCTCTGTTGTTTGTGATCCCACAATGGACCATATCACTTCTTTCTTTGGCCAGTTCCATCCTAAAGTCCATCCAGGGCTCATAATATGCCGATACATTTGAAAATTATTCATTGTTACAACAGCCTGGATAAATATTTCAGGTTGTTACTACTCATATAATCATTCGCGCCAGTCAGTATTATGAAGATACTTACCACATAACCATCTGGTGTCCAAGACATGACATCCCATTTTATTGTGATATTACCAAATGGATCCAATGGATCAAATGCATCTGAAGGTCCAAAAGGAAGAGCAAAATAATATATAATGGGAACACAAAAATATACAAATTCTTATCTATAAGCATGTACTTTACCTGCATAAGGCAAGACAGAAGACAAGACAACTGCGAAAAAAGTTAACTTTGCTAGAGGAAATAAGAATTGGCATTGCTGAGAGTAATCTTTTCCCTTAAAAGATATTCTTTTCTGAAACATCCTTAGTAATAGTATATCTTGAGGTTTAAGGATCTTATGTTTTTTTTTCTAAAAGAATGAACTTAGGAGTATTAAAAGATGGGGAATTTTTAATTTTAGCTGATCATGATGATGCCACACCTAATGGTTGTTGGATGGTTTATGCCATAATATCATTTTTTCACTTCCACTCTATAATTCTCTCTCACCTATTTTGGTATCTTTCAAAGGGCCATCAAGTTGAGAATGGGGGAGAAAAATGGGACATTTGAACACAATAGCTAAGCAGTCATTTCTTAGGTGGGATATATTATCAGTTCTGATTAGTGAGTACACTGTTGACAAAACTGTCCCTTTGTAGTAGATGTTAAGTCATAATTGTTCTTGATTATTTATAGAAAAAAATTAAAATCTACTACCCCTAACAGTGAAAAATATCCTAATTGGATGTGAATATTAAGCAATCATTATCGATAACAGTAGTTAAAGGATGTCTTCCCTTTTAACTTAATTTTATCTTTTTGAGATCATTTCTTATACTACATTGTTAATAGCAGGGTAGTTGTGTTTCAAGTGAGATTTTATCATTGTTACATAAGTGAACAAAGGATGTGCTAACAATTTGAATGACACCGACTCACCATCTTCAGAGTTGTGCTTCTTTAAACTAATTTGCTCTAACAGAACCAATTCAAGACTAGTTTTTCGAGTTGAGCCCTCTTGTTCAGTCAGAACAGGTTGATCAACGTCTATAGCACTCATTGAATATCTATAAGAAAATTGGATATTTTAAATGTGCTCTGGTTAAGAACCTTATTTTTCATAAAAGACTTCACTAGTTTTGGATATTGTCAAGTGCATTGTAATACTCATTAGTACATTTATGTTCTTGAATAGTGAATACTTATCACTAGTTACAACCATCAGCTAGGAATATCAAGAGAAACAGAACAACCAGAGTTGGACAATGCTCTTTATCTGGTGCCGGCAGAATATGGAAGATATGGGTAAGATTCAGGAGACGGCATCACACAAGGATTGCCGTTGAAGTAGACCCTCCGAGGGAAAGCCCAACCTTTCTTCAGTGCAAGTGTTTTTCTGTCCTTCTGAAGTGTTAGATCTGAGTGGACATTTCCTTTTGGTCCAGCTTGCATCAGGACATCATTATATGACTTTCTCCCATAAAACAAGGCTGTATCATCTGCATAGTTAAAATATCATCAGCCTGATGATTGATGAACGGTCTAATGATCGAGTATATGTCCGTTCTGTTTATGAATCAAATAAAGGGACTTGGAGCTTACTGGTTGATAAATTGGGCATGAGAGGCTTGTATAAAAAGCTGGAAACTTGAGTCGCTTTGTTGAGGTTTGGATGTTGAACGACGAGTGTCCATTGTGTATAGTTGAATCGGTAGTTGAAGTTTGTGATGGTCATCTTCACACTCCAATACTTGTTGTAGTTTGATTTAACATGCCAATGCACATTGACAGGGCACATGTGTTTTGTGCATTGCAGCACTGGCTTCTTTACTCCCTTCCTGCAATTACACTTGTCAGTTATGATCTGTCAAGGAGAATTGTTCAAAGCTTTTATAGCTAAAATCTTACGTGACGCAGTTGCTACTGTTACGGCAGCCACAAGAACACGAAGGACAAGGGGTGATACTTGCATTGTGAAAAGAAGACAAGGAGACGCAACATGTCGGTTTCGGGGATGCTAAGAACTGAGAGTAAGTGCAAACCACTCTCCATGTCACTGCATATTAAGCAGAAAGATTCAGGCTAATGCAAACAGTATTTACTTTTAATGTATGGTTAAAAGACTTACTCATAGCCTGTGTCATTCGTCGACCGTCAGCTGTTATGAAAGGAGTGGGACGGATGATTTTAGCAGGACCACAAGTATAGCCACCACCTGGAGCGATGAAAGTGAAATTTTTAGGAAGTTTCACTGTTTTGTTTGTAGTCCCAGCAGCGCCTACAGCTATCTGAAATGCAGAGAGAGCAGCAGAAGAGTCTTTTCCCATCGATTCTAAAGCGCCGCCCTTACAGCAGTTAGCAATTTGCTGGTTATAAGGGGCATTTGGCAGCAAGTCAACAGTTGCAGGATTTCTCTTACAACTGTGAGGAATATTGCCTCTAAACATTGAACAATTTCCTTTTTCATTAGCTTTTGCTCCAAACATGGACCAAATCACCTCATTCTTCGCCCACGTCCATCCTAATGTCCATCCAGGGCTCGTTATTGGACGATATATTTGGAAATTGTTCATTGTCACTACTGCCTGAAATTCAAAAAATTCATGAACTAAAGATCTCAAACTGCTAATTAAATAGTAGTAATAGTTCAAATATAATACCACATAACCATCAGGGGTCCAAGACATCACATCCCATTTGATTGTTATATTTCCATTTGGATCCAATGCGTCATAGGCAGCTGTAATTAAAATTCCAAAAAAGTCAAATTTTAGAAATATGAATGCAATAAAAGCACTAAACACTTCCTTTAATTTGTAGCAAGGTAATTACCTGCACCAGAACATAGCACAAAAAGTAGAAACACTATGGTATATGAGTTCATAGACATGTTGGAGTTGGATCACGTAATAGAAATTATGTAAATTAATTTCTCGATCTAAACGGTCTTCACACCAGAATATCTCATCGCAGAGCTTCCATCAATATATTTAATGTAGTTTGAGATGCAATATAATTGCTCATATCTATGTCATTGTATCTATTTAAAAAATGCTAATAATAATAACAATAAGAAGAAAAATAGGAAGTAGAATGTGCAGAAGTATGGAAGAAAGGGAGCTTCCTAGAAAAAGTCTCTACATACAACTGTCAAACAACTATTAAGGAGTTGACTTTGACTTGCCGGGAAGACTTTAGAAATAAATTTGGAATGGATGTTGAGAATATGTATATTACAGAAATAAAACAGTTAGCTATTTTTAGGGTTTTTAAATTATGTTATTAGAGTTTTATTTGACTTATATTTAAGAGTTAGCTCTTTTTATTTGTTATTTGAATTACACTGATAAGTTAGTATTTTATTTTTCTATTTCTAGTTAGAAATTATATCTATAAATGCAAGTCTCTGAATTATTAATAAAATAATTCCCTTTGGTAATACTGCAATATTTTTTCTCTCAAATTATTTTCTTAATTTCTTTATTAAAAAAACCAACAATTGAAAGTATATATGCCTTCAAAGAAATTATTTCTTCAGTTTGTTTATCACACTTTTTATTAGTCATTTTCAAAAGATTGTGTTTTTTTTCTTGACAACTCTTTAGTTTTAACTTTTCATATGACATGTTTAAAATTGACATTTTGATGTATTTATATATCTTTAGTTTAAGCTTACGAGATTTAAAAGTATTAGTTGTTTTCATAAATTCCGTACTAAATTAAAACAAGACAAACTAACTAAAATGGAGGCAGTAATAATGTTCATTACATTGTTCAAATGAAGTCAACGAGTTGGGTTTTTTTTTTCCTTTAGAAAAAGTCTTGTAAAAGGATCAAACTTGATAACATTTTGAATAGTTAAAGAACTAAATCTAATCTAACTACCTTAAAAGCATGAACTCCCAAATTTGAATGTTGAATTACTATAATACTCTCAATTAAAAATACTCAATTTATTTTATTTATTAATTTAATTATTTGTATTATATTAAAAATAGATGCCTTTTTTTTCACATTAAAGGGTTGTGATTTTTTCAAAGAGTTGTGACTTTTTCAAAATGTTGCGACTTTTTTGATGGGTTGTGACTTTCCGAAGGGTTGTGATTTTTCTAGAGGGTTGTGACTTTTCCAAAGGGTTGTGCCTTTCTCAATGAGTTGTGACTTTTTCGAAAGGTTGTAAGGCATAATTAGCATTTATTCATACTATTATTTGTTAGCTATATATAGAGGAGTTTCCTCTCACTTTTAAACTACAATTTTTTTAAGTTTTGTACTCTTCTTCTTCATAAAAAATCTCAAGGGTTATTTGCAACGGTTGATTAAGTTCAAAATTCAACGAAATTCGAGATATCACATAAGAAAGAGTTGGTGAACAAATTATTGCAAATCATTCAACAATTCACACTCATAGTTCTTCTTACGATTCATGAGTTAACAATGACGAAAAGTTGTGAGAAAGACAATAATAATAAACAAATATGAAAAAAGTCACATGATTTGGGTATGAAACTATAAATTATTTCATGTAATAATGATGGTAATGTGTGGCTCCGCCCCTGATCGAGTTGGTTTTTTTTTTTTTCCTTTAGAAAAAGTCTTGTAAAAGGATCAAACTTGATAACATTTTGAATAGTTAAAGAACTAAATCTAACTACCTTAAAAGCAGGAACTTCCAAGCTTGAATGTTGAATTACTATAATACCCCCAATTAAAAATACTCAATTTATTTTATTTATTAGTTTAATTATTTGTATTATATTAAAAATAGATGCCTTTTTTTCACATTAAAGGGTTGTGATTTTTTCAAAGAGTTGTGACTTTTTCAAAATGTTGCGACTCTTTTGATGAGTTGTGACATTTCCGATGAGTTGTGACTTTCCAAAGGGTTGCGATTTTTCTAGAGGGTTGTGACTTTTCCAAAGGGTTGTGCCTTTCTCAATGAGTTGTGACTTTACCAAGGGGTTGTGACTTTTTCGAAAGGTTGTAAGTCATAATTAGCACCTATTCATACTACTATTTGTTAGCTATAAATAGAGGAGTTTCCTCTCACTTTTAAACTACAATTTTTTTAAGTTTTGTACTCTTCTTCTTCATAAAAAATCTCAAGGGTTATTTGCAACGGTTAATTAAGTTCAAAATTCAACGAAATTCGAGATATCACATAAGAAAGAGTTGGTGAACAAATTATTGCAAATCATTCAACAATTCACACTCATAGTTCTTCTTACGATTCATGAGTTAACAATGACGAAAAGTTGCGGGAAAGACAATAATAATAAACAAATATGAAAAAAGTCACATGATTTGGGTATGATATTTCTTCTTTATTTTTTCATTTTTTATTCTCTTACCCTCACGAAGGAGTTTCTTTCTAATTTTGGTAAAACAACAGGCATCAACATAGTCCATTGAATTATTAGTTTGGATATAAAATCCACTATTTCAAAAATATATTTTAGCTTTTACTTATAATATGATTTCAATCAAATGGAAAAATTACCTCTCGGTATATGATAGTCTTACTCAAGTATTAATTGAGTAACAATATTTTGTAAATGATAGATTGCGTATAAAGATAAAATATTGAAATATTTATGTTAATCCTTATTAGTGTCATGCACATACTACATTTCAAATATGAATATTTAAAAGAAAAATTTACTTTAATGGTGCCCATCATTTATGTTCATAACCTCATGAGGAAAGGCTATTGGTGACATTTTTTTAAAAAAAATTGTTAGTTAGATTTGCTTACAAAATTGAGTGAAGTAGAAATATTACTAAAGAAATGTCACTTTTTCCCCACATTTAAACTTTGAATGTATTTTGAAATGCTTCAATGATATATGGTCATTTTGATCTCAAAATACAAGTAACTCTATAACAATTTGTATTAATTACTTAAAAACACTTGTCCTATGTTCTTTCAATTATAATTATTTACTATAAAGCTTTAATTTAGTAATATTAATTCTATTTTACAGCATTGTATACTATATATACAATACACACGTACAACGCACGTGCCGTGAAACTAGTATATATATATAATTAATGGACTATTTTAGACTTACTTTAATAGTTCAGGAACAGTTATGAGATTTTTTCATAATAAACTCCTATAACTCATAATAGAAGTCAAGACATTGCACTTGAACAATTCCAAGAGCCAGCAGTGTTGAGAAGATGAAGAGATCACGCTTGAAGAGCTAAGAATTAGAGGATTAAGCAATTTATAACGCTTCTAAAACAATTTAAAGAGCATCAAAGTTCGTCATAAATCCTTCATAATAATTTGTTAATTTGATTCTACAGAGCAAAGCATCAGACTCGGTATTAAGTTCATATAATACTCTATCCGTCTTAATTTATGTGACATTTTTTGACTTGACACAAAATTTAAGAATTTTTAAAAAAATTTGTGATCTAAAACGCTCCTCAATCATTTGTATATTTATAAATCAAATGTCACGATAGGCTAAAGTCGAGAAGAGATCCCGCTTGAAGAGCTAAGAATTAGAGGATTTAAGCTCCGTTCTTAAATTATGCAATGCATTTTGACCGTATATAAAGTTCAATGAAGATAAAAAGGTCTTTTAAAATTTATGATTTAAAACAAGTTGTAATGTGTGGCTATATTTCATGTAATAATGATGGTGATAAGGGACGAAAGTGAATAATTTAGTACTCCCTCTATCCCTAATTATCGTTCACTTTTAAAATGACACACCTATTAAGAAAATAATTATTGGTATAGTGAATTTATCATTTTACCCTTATTAATTATGAAGTAGATGAATTAAAAACTTGAGATTTTCAAAAGGTTCATCTTTTTCAAAGTAATTAATTGAGGGTATAATAGGTAAAATAAAATTGTCCTTTCTTGATTTGTCAAAATGGACAAGTAATTAGGGACGAGTATTAAGTGTTTGTTCTGTAGAAATTCTCAAATGAATAGTATCTTAACAATATTAAAATTTTGTCATAAATTTTAAACATTTAAATGTATTAAAACTCATTAAGTAGTTATAAAATCTAAAAGAATACATTTAATGATTGAAATGTGATTAATTAAAACAAACACGCTCAATTGAATGATTATTTAATGCCCATTTGAACAGAGAATTGTTACAATTTTTCAAACTTAAAATTTTCAAAAAGTTAATTTTCAAAATTTTAACTCCAAAATCACATACAAAAATTTAAAAGTAATCCAAATTGGTTTCACATCTAAACATATAAATTTAATTTTTAAATACCATTTTCAATTTGAAAATAAGTTTTAATTTTTTTTTCAAAATTTTTACGTCCAAAACGCCTACTAAAATTCAACATGTACACAAATAAAACTTAAACATTTTATTTTTTCTATTCTAAGAATATAAAAAGGAAAAAGGTTAAAAAAATGTCCACAACCTATTAGAAATAGTTCAGAAAAACCCTCCTTCCATCTACTGATTTTAAAATGCCCTTAATATTTTCTTTTAGGTTAAAAAAATGTTCATTATTTAACAAAAATATGACATGAAATGCTGCAATTTAGCTGTTTTTTCTTTGATTGAAAGCTAGAGTACTATTTTTAAAGAAAAAAAACAGAGGAAGAAAGAACAGAGAGAAGGCTTCAATCATCAGTGAAATGGGTTTGGGGATTGGGTTGGGTCAGATCTTTTAATCGGATAAAAAAATTATGTTGGACAAATATAAAACGGCCACTTGTTAAATTAAATTTCATGTCATATTTCTGTTAACTAATGAACATTTTTAAATCTAAAGAGAATGTTAAAGACATTTTTAAACCAATAAGTGAACGGATGACATTAGGTTAAGGACATTTTTGAGATAGTCGCTCCATGAATCGTAGATTCAACAACTCGATTATTTATTAAGAGC